TCCTTTTTATCAATTTTCTAAGTAAGGATGGGAAACACAGAGAAGCAACATGTTTAAGTTCACATAGTTAGAAAAGGTAGAGTTGGAGGTTAAGCCAAGATTAAGCATCTTGCTCACTCCACATCTTGGCCTATATGTTGCCAATTTCTGATCAAGTTCTATCTGAAATTCAAAGTGGGAAACCTGGTTGGAAAAAAAAAAATCAGGGATGCTTTAGAATATTTCTTCATCTACATAGTGACTCTTACTATTTGCTGCATCTCAATCTTCTCTAATAATTTGATGAAATCTGTGGGACCCTCTCTCTAGAGAGTGGCACGTTATGTTCACAGTTCATGTGTATGTGTGCCTGTGCTCGTGTACGTTTAGTGGATTTCCAAACGCTTCAAAACTAAAGCTAAGAATTCATGACCTGTCAGTTGCCACTAAAGAAGGATCCTAGATAAAAGATAGACCTATCTAAGATGGAGTGGGTGCACAGAGATGGCGCCTTGGCCAAACCATCTCAGGTGATGGAAATTCTCTAGTATAAGCAATTCTTCACAAGCCTAGAATTGACCCTTAACAGGACTAGTCATGGCAGACAGAGACCTCATTATAAAGGTTATAAGCTGGGTCTTGAGGGACCTTTAAGTGAGCTTGAAACATTGTCTAAAGGAGTAGGAAAGAATGGTGCTAGAATAAATGCCGACTCCCCAGTTCGGCTATGCCCTCTTGGTCATGACCTTGAGGCTTAAGGAATTGACTCAGCTCTCAACTGACTAGCCATTTCACAGCCCAGCAGGTCACCGCTCTAAAGCTCTGCCATCATGACACTGCCATCTGCAGCAACTAAGCAGAGATTGCTCAAGATCAAATTTATGACACCTGAGAGTCCATTCTTACATAAGAATCACCTGTTGCTGGTGCATAAATTTCAGCACCTAGCGGAGCCAAGGACAATCAAGACTTAAAAGGGGACCCGAATAAATATCAACCAGATTTCTTCTCTGTGGGGCTGACTTTTGAAAAATCTTTGTGCCCTCATATGTCCCTCAAAGGAGACTGTCATTTTGCTATTTTCTGTCTGCATCACCACTGTCAGGGGAATGACGCTCTCAGAGCCACAGGCAATCTGTCTTCTTGGAGGTTCTGTTCAAGCTCTGACCTCAGTTTGCTGCAGTGGATGTCGCTTCTCACAAGTTCCAGCTTGCCCTCATCACCAGCTAAATTAGCCATAAAGCAAAGCCTTGACTCACATTACTGAAGCCTGAGAGAAATCAGTCCAAGCCCGGAGTGATGCATCCCTATATCAAAGACCATCAGCCTAGAGAAAAGCAGGTGTGACCCTTAGATTGACACAGCACTCTGGGTCATCAAGAAGATTCCCTTAGCACGAGACCTTGGATTGGGGGTACAGGGCTGTCTGAGAGCAAAGAAAAGGCCATTTGAAAGCACCTACGGAATGGTGGGCTTGGAATAACAATGGATGGTGGGGGAGGGCCTAGGGAAGGGGTTTTCCTTAAACTAAAACAGGGCCAAGGCCAAAAAATTACCTACAGCTATACTTGGTGAAGTGCGTGCGTGTGTGTGTGTGTGTGTGTGTGTGTGTGTGTGTGTGAATTAAATTAGGATTAATAAGTTTCTGAGAAGGTTTGCATCTGTGAATCTGTGACCTTGGACAAACAGCTCTCTTTTCTGGGTTACTATGTGTAAAGTGTAGGAGTAGAATGGAGGCTTCTTCCTGCACAAACATGCCGAGATGGAAGGTAGAAGAAAAGGCCTTTGAAGCCGACATAATTACTCCTCTGTCCAGGGAAATATAAACAACAGTAACTCCACCAGCCTTCAGCTCTGCTTCTGAATGAGTTCTTTGCTTCTTTCTGAGAGGTAAAGTAGTTCATTCCTTAGGGAAAAGTTGAATGTGGAACGGTAGGCCATGCCCTTTTCACTCTGGTTTTATTATGTTATTTTGAGTGACTATTAATATGTGCAAAGAACATTCAATCTAAGCTGAGATTTTACTGGGCACCATGGACCCAGAGCCGCAGTAGGTCTACTGCAGTAGATGAAGAAAGTGTGTGACATGTTGGGGGGCTTCAAGTCCCTTACGATCCCTTAACATGTTCCATTTTAAAAGTCAAGCTCTGAATGAACAAAAATTAGTCTCATTTTTTATTTAATTTTTTTCTTGAGACAGAGTCTTATTTTGCTGCCCTGGGTAAAGTGCGATGGAGTCATAGGTCACGGCAACCTCAAACTCTTGGGCTCAAGTGATTCTCTTGACTCAGCCTCCTGAGTAGCTGGGACTACAGGCGCCCACCACAACAACTGGCTATTAATGTTTTAATTAAAAAAATTTTATTAGAAAGGAAGTCTCACTCTTGCTCAGGCTGGTCTGGAACTTCTGGGCTCAAGCAGTCCACCCACCTTGGCCTCCCAGAGTGATACGATTACAGGTGTGAGCCACTGTGCCTGGCATTGAGTCTAATTTTTAAATTAAATATTCCTTCTATCTATTAACATAAGTAAGCACCTGAATTTGACCAAATTTACTTGGTTTTTATGCTTTTATTAATACAGACTACAGATATATGTATACCAGGAGCCTCACTTTGGCACTTATAGGGTGTAAGTTGCCTTGATTCTGGTTAGATGCCCCAAGTAAAACACAAATAAAAGCCAATTGAAAAACTTGATTTTTCAAGCAAATGCATGCTTGCTTATACATTTTGAAGTTCCACTTAAGTATAATCTCTACATTATATAAAAGAAAACTAAATGAATCCCTTTTTGGGGTGGGGAGCAGCTGTTCTAATTTCCTGAGTGTGTACATTAGTTAATTGGAAGGCTGCCTTAAGTTAATTCCCAGTAATGTACTATTATTCCTAGGTAGGTATTTATTTTTCTGATACCAAGAGGATGGTCAGTTATACCATCTTCCCTAGACTATTTTGTTTTCCTTTAAAGTTTTCTAAGACAAACCACTGATTACTTCATTGTAAATGGTAATCACTTCCAAAATATGCCTTCTGTGCAAAACAGAACTTCTCAGGAAGTAAAGATGATCCAGATGACGTCTTTTAAATGCAAATTATCTCAATAACCTGAAAGTACTTGTCCTAAATGTCCTGGATGAATGTGCTTGTGTATCAACACATAAGGATGACATATAACATGACATATTGTTAAATAGGATTTTCCAGTCACATAACACATTTCCAACTTGATAAAATGATCCACCAAGAATTAAGGTGCAAAAATCTCACTTAAGAAATAATATACAATAATAGTATTGAGCACATTGTATACTTTTTTTCCATTCTTGAGATACTTTACTAAGAAGAATGTAGGTAAACATAAAAGCTATAAAGTCTCCATCCTTTTTATGGCTGCATAGTATTCCATGGTAGACATATACCACAATTTGTTAATCCATTCATGGTTTGATGGGCATTTGGGCTGCTTCCATGACTTGGCAATTATGGATTGGGCTGCAATAAACATTCTTGTACAATTGTCTTTGTTGTAAAATGATTTTTGATCATCTGGGTAAATACCTAATAGTGGAATTGCAGGATTGAACGGTACACACCCATATGAATGATAAAACACAAATATAGTCCAGAAAGAGAGAGGAGGAGAGGGGGGAGAGTATTTAGTGGGACCTCACCCATTGTGCATAATGCAATGGTACATTTCAAAACTACTAAGAGTAGAGTATAAATGTCTTACCACAACAAATAAGTGAGATGATAATTATGTTAATCAGTCTGATTTAAGCATTCCACATTATATATCAAATCAGCACATTGTATCCCATAATTGTACACGATTTACATGATTGTACATGATTTAATTGTACATGATTTAATAAACAAAGAATAAATAAAGAAATAATATACTATAAACACTATATTACTGAGTTTTTCTTCAAATAACCCAAAGCACTATTTTTGGACTTTAGGTGTTCAGAATTGAGCTGATTATAATGCTTCAGTTCATGGAATATCAAGGCACCTTTATATCTATTACTGTTGAACACGGTTAAGTTGAGAGGGGCAGGTATGTAGGGTGACCAACCATCCCAGTTTCCTTCAGGAATGAGGAGGTTCCCAGGACATCGCATTTGCCCTGAGAAAGGCCAAGGCAATTAGGGGACAAGTCCGCCATGCTACAGATATTACAATTCCATTTATAACTGGGAAAACAAAGGCACCAGGAAGCAAAATGTTTTTTCTAGTTTACTCCACAGGCAAGAAGCAGATATAGGATTGAGTCCGCTCTGTTCCAATGAAAGCCCATTCACAATGAGACAGATCCCTGTTATTTCCTCTTTACCTTATTTTTGCCTTGAACTTTAAGAAAATCCATGTCTTCTTTTGCCTTTGTGCACAACCGTTCCCAAACTATGGGTGGTACTGAATGCAGTACTTTATATCACACATTACTCAGGAGGAATGACATTGCCATTTTGTGTTTTAAAGAGCTGAATGAGAACTTAAAATTGTCACAGTTCTCCAAAGAAGAAGAAAGGCTGGTGCAAGTTCTGCCTACACCACCAATTACCTCTTAAGGCTACTAACTATCCCCGGCTGGGACAGGACCATTTGTATAATTTCATGAAACAAATCCACTTAAATGAACCTCAGAAAAAATGACCTGGTGACCATCTTTGGAACAATTACATGGCAACAGCTAACATTTACTAGGGCTTACCGTCTGCTGGGTGTAATGCTTAGAGTTTTGTATTGGTTAGTTTGATTATGCCCCGTAACAAACATCCTGTGAAGTAGAAACTATTGCTCTCATTTCATAGGCAAGAAAAATGAGGCTGACAGGTGAAATCATTTGTGACTGTCACATAGCTGACCCTGTGGAGGGTTGGAGCTTGTGTTTACACCCAAGAAGTCTGACTCCAAGACCAGTGCTGTTAGCCATCTACTACACCCCTGTTCATAAAAGCAGCTAAAGCAGTAGTCCTCAACCTGTGGGTTGTGACCCACAGAAATTGTATTAAAGGGTCGCAGCATTAGGAAGGTTGAGAACCACTGAGTTAAAGGACTCTCTGAACAGTGTCCTAATATCCAATCATAGAAGCAGCTCTTGATTAGAGAAGATCTAAACTAGCCAGACCACATGCTCTTGAGAGGCACAGCTGGTACATCTGGCTACCTGCTTAGGTCAAAAGGCAGGAGGTTTTGAGGGTTTTGATTAAATCTGTCGATGAATTTAGAGTATTCATTGCCCTTCCAAGCTGCTGTTTGTTACGTTGTATCTTCAGAACCTTTATTTCCCTTTCTGAAAAATGTAAATGGTAATTCCTGGGCCTCTCTGAGAAATGGCTAGATAAAATAACGGGAAAGCACTCTGCAAACTGTGAAGTGCTTTAAAACAATTATCCCATATGTTAAGCAGCTTCTAAAATAGCAATTTCTTCAAATGCCCTTGCAAAGCAAATGAGACACAGCTGCTAGAATGCTCTGCAAAGAGACGGAAATCCAGCTCTTTAAACCGTCCGAGGGGAAAACACACACTGTAAAATGACTCCAAAGATGAATTTTACAAGAAACATGGAAGCGTCATCAAGTTTTTCCATGGTTAATTCTAAAAGAGCAGCAGCGTCACAAAGATTTTGTGAGTTCTTCAACAGAAATCTGGGAAAATGTTCTTTTATGACACAATAGAAATAAATGTGAGAGACTCACCTGAGGAGCAGAAATGAGGAAGCCAAGTTTACAGGCTCTTCTAATCTTTTCCAATGACAAGTCTGTTGGGGGAAAAAGAAATTAGGAAGACTTAAAAAAAAGGAAACAGAAAAAAAGGAAAGTGAAGGATAGGTGTCATAGAGTGCTGTGAAACTTCTGAGAGTGACTCAGCACTCCCCAACTGGCAGCCACAATTAAATGAGTGTGTTGAAAGGACCCTAATAAATAAAGCTCAGCGTTCCCTGTAATCTCAGAACAAGATTGCACCACTGAAGAAAATGTTAATAAGGCATTTGGGGGGCTGTGGTTTGGTGGGTGTTGCTTAGGGGTGGGGGAAATCAGGGATGAGTCACAGGCTCCTTGAAGGAAGCTGAGCCAGGCCCCTCTCTCTCTCTCTCTCTCTCTTCCTCTCTTCTCTCTCTCTCTCTCTCTCTCTCTCCAGGGATTTCAGCCCTTCTCCAGTAAGCCAAAAGGAGCAAGTGAGCTGGTCCCTGGGCAATGAGAGGCATAAAGGATGAAATGTATAAGCTGTATAAGCAAGTCCTGAGATGGAAGAGGAAGGATTTGTGCCACAGCCTCTGGACCCAGGAGTATTATTAGCTTGCCTGTGAATGGAAGAGCCCCCAGCTGAGCCGACATACACGCCAATCAGATTTTTAAAATTCTTTTGGGGGAGAAAGGAAATCACAATTCCTCTTCGTAACTAATTTATATCTTTAGCTGCTCTTTTGGCAGTGAAACCTCTATGCTACAACTACCCTAAATTCCTCCTTTTCTAAACAGGCCTTGGTGGACATGGATGAACAATGGTTTTTTTTTCACCATTGAGAAATGTAAATTATTCATCTATTTACACACAGTTCTTGTCATACTAAACTCATAACAGAAATCCAGGCATTTCTCTTCTCCCCTCCTGAATGAGAATTCTCCATACCTCTAACCCAGATTATAGAAAGAAAGAACCATTTTTATTCTCTGGTATCATTTTTCCTATTTCAGGGGGACCAAGGACCGACTGAGGAAACAGTTTACAATTTTAAGTCTTATGAAAAAAAATATCTGAAAGGGACAGCAACTGGAGGTTTAGCATTCCCATACTAAGTTTCCAAAATACTTATACTGGTTTATTTTCTTGTTCTAGAATAAACTCAGGTGTAAAATATATTTTAATATTTGTTAAGTAGTTCCGCCTGCTAAACAGTTCTACTTCATTCATAAATGAAGCTGCATGGTGATTACCATGAATGAATGGGGTACGACGTCTTTCCAATTCTCCAAAATCTATCAAAACAAAGCTACCACAATTTGGTTTTCCTCTTGGGAAAAAAATAAGTTACTTATTATGATTAATTTTCTTTTCTTCTGAATAGAAACATTTTAAAAATAGGTTCTTTATTTCTTTCTCCATTTTGACCTTTCTATAGGAAAAAGAAAAAAATGAATGTTCTATTTTTCATCAACCAGAACAGTACTTGTCTGAGTTCAAAACACAGGCGGGATCCAAAGAAACTACATCATGGTCTTCTAGAATGGGAAGAGCTTTTTCTGCCACGGCTCAAAAAGTAAGGGTTAAGATTAGGGGTAACCTTTAGCGATACAAAAGAGTGAATCAACTCTACATTTACGTTCAGAAGCATGAACTGAATCCCATACCAGCAGTAAAGTAAGATGACCCCTTGATTCTGACCAAGCCAGCCACATGCATTTGAATCTGGGTTGGATTTAGATGAGTAATTAAGTGATGATATAGTGAAAAGAAGACTTGGGGCTTAGGAACAGAATCCCATCGTGATCTTGGTGAGGATTTTGCTTTTTTATGGACAGCTTAGTAGATAGGGTCAATCTTTTAATTTACTTAACAATTTGTAGAGAGCTTTCCCATTGTGGCACTTAATCATTTTTTTCCCCACTCAATTTCCTCATCTATACCTTTGGGTTAATAGAAGTTGGGTTACTGTGCAGGGCTATCATAGGGACTAAATAAAATCTGTATATAAGATGCTTATGACAGTGTTGGCACATAAAAGTTGAATGAATCCTTACTTGTCTCCCTGATGTTTATGTGGTTCTGTTGCAAAATGCTGGTTCTCAATAAATATTGGCAATAGTAACCTCCTATCCTCACCCCACCAAAAAGAAAAGGAAAAAAACCCCAGCAAAAACAACAACAACAACAAAACAGTCCTTAATTTTGTCAATTTTTTTGACTCTTAAGGAACCCTATCATCCTGATACCTATTAAAGTAATTTCTTGGATACTTACCATAGGCCATGCTCTGTGAGGAAGAGTACTTTCCATGAAAAATCTTATTTTCATTTTCCCTACAACTCTATGAGCTCAATATTGGTTATTCCTCTTTTGCTTCAAACTCACTTAGACACCAATATAAAAAAAAATTAGTATTTTTAAAACATCTATTTTACATAAGTATTATTAAATGGACTGAATGTTTGTGTCCCCCAAAATTCATATATTAAAATTCTGACCCTCAATGCAATGGAGGTGGAGCCTTTGGGAAAAAGTTAGGTCATAAGGGTGGAGCCCTCATGAATGGGATTAGGGCCCTTATTAAAGGCCCTCTTGCTCTCTTTCTACCATGTGGGGATATATCAAAAGTTGCCAGTGTATAACCTGGAAGACATCCCTACCCAACCATGCTGGCACCTTGATCTCACATGTCTAAGCTCCAGACCTGTGAGAAATAAATTCTTGTTTATAAGCCACCCAGTTCATGGCATTTTGTACAACAGCCTGAACTAAGACAATAACCATTGTAGCATATTTATGCAATGCCCTACTGAGTTGTCTTTTGTAAATGTTGTTCAAGCAAAGCACTAAGTTACAGTTCCTAACCTCCAAAAAAAAAAAAAAAAAAAATGACATTATTTTTACCCCAGAGAAGAAACAGAATTTAGATTAAAGGATCTACTCTGGCTCACTCTTTTTAAAATTATGTGAGTGATTTCTACCTCTAATTTAAGTTTATGAACTTATCATAAATAAGAATTGCCAAAACTCCTATTTATATCTGGTTACCAACTACAGCCAATATCTACAAAGTACCAAATTGACAACACTGACAAGGTGATGGAGATTATCCATCTTGCTGAAATGAACAGCAAAGGATCATTGAAGATTTCTGATGGAAATCACCTTGCTCACATTTAACATCTAAAACATGCTAGACACTTACACACAATGAATTGGCAAATATGCTTCCATACAAGTACTTTAATTTTGAAAAATGCAAAGGTTAGTGGAGCAATGAAGAATGGCTATGCTTAATATGGAGACATTTACCAGGGGAAAGAGAATCTCTAGTAGAAAACACACTGGATCTCTACTTAAGAAATTCCATAGGTTTAGAAAAACCTAAAGTAGAACATTTATGGCATGCTTTTTTATTGTGTTTGGCTTCATTTTGTTTGTTTTTAAATAAATATTTATACAAGGATATAACTGAGCTTTATTTTGTTTTGAAGAATATTTGATATTTTATGAGATAATGCTGTTTTCTACTTCATAGAAAAACCAAAAAGCAATCAAAAGGGATATAACACAGGGTCTTACCATGATATATACCCCTCCCCAGCAGCATCAGTACCCTAAACACACCTATTACTATAAATGAAAATATCCTATCTCCCCTTGGAAGCCAAACCTGTCACTTAGACACTAGATATCGTCACTATTTGATGACCCAATTGAATTGTGTAGGGAACTCTTTCTACCTTTCCTAAAATATTAATCTGTCCCTCTCTGCTGGATCATCCCACAACCATACTGGTAATTTTTCCTAGCCCCCCCAAAATAACAAACCCCTTAGCTTGACCAACTTTCCCCAGAGTTGACTTTTCTCACTATTTTGAATTTTGTACCTACCATTCTTCTTAAACTACGTAAACCAAGCTTTAACCATCACCACTCTACCAAATTATGTTCTTGTTCAGGTCACCAATGATGCCCAGGTATGAAAGTTAGTAGGCAATTTTTAGTCTTTATCTTACAAGATTTCTTAGTAGCATTTGGCAGTATTTTCCACTCCCTCTACTTGATATATTTCAGTCTCTTGGTTTTTAGGACACTGTCCCCTCCTAGTCTTTTGGCAGTCATTCCGCCATCTCTCCTTGACCTCTAAATGCAGGGGACCCCCTGGGCTGGCCCCTGTCTACTTCTCTACTCCAGTGGTACCCACTCACTTGATAAGGTCAACATGTTTATAATACCAACATGTTGATAATTCTGAAATCCACATTTTCAGCCCAGACATGTTCAACATACTCTCCTAAGCTTCACATGCACACAATCAGCAACCAACTCAACATCTGTAATCAGGTGTCCAATAGTCATTTCAGATTCAGTATGTCCAAAACCCAAATCTCGGTACTCCCTACAGACCTAATATTCCTACAGACATCTTGATCAATAGCAATTTCATCTTTATAGTTGCTCAAGTCAAAACTTTGCTTCCTTTTTCTCGCAGAGTCCACGTTCAATGTATCATAAAATCCTGAGGAATTTTACTTTCAAAACATATCCAGAATTGGACAACTTTTTGCCACTTCCACTGACCAACCCATGACCAGAGCCACTTCTTTTGCTTGGTTTATTGGCATACTCTCTTAATTAGTCCCTGCTTTCATCCCTGCCCTACTCAACCTGTTTTCCACATAGTATCCAGGCAGAGGCTGCTTAAAAGATCAGCTCTTCCTCAACACCTTACAGGGACCCCCACTTCACTCACATTAAAGCCAAAGTTTTTTCAGTGATCTATAAAGTCTTGTATCATCTTGCCCTTGCCCCTCTGTTCTCTCTCTGATCTATGACATTCTCTTCACAGTCTTCATTTCAGCCACACTGGCCTCATTGCTGTTCCCTAAATGTATTGACTCCTGCTTTGGGGCTTTTGCACAGGCTGCTCTCTGTGCCTGTGGCCCTCTTCCCCAGAGATACAGTTGCACTTGCCTTAGATATTTGCTCAAAAGGTACCCCTATTTAAAATTCCAACTGTGCATACAATCCTCCTCTGCAGTCATGAACCCCATGACTCTGCTTTAATCTCCTCTGTTCCATAGCAACTACCACCAGGAATACAGTATGTTGGTTAATGTATTATGTTTACTGTTTCCCTCTGCTAAAACATAGGCTCTGCAAGGGCAGGGGTTGGGGTCCATCTGAGTTGTCAATGGTGCTTCTTCTAAGTATCTATAATAGAGCTTGCTATGTAAAGTCACTCAGTGGACACTGAACTGAATGGAATGAAATGGGCTTCCAGGAAAAGAACCTGAGTAGATAATGCTGTACCTATACAAAATAAGAACTTGACTTAAACAATAGTGGAAGCAGCCTAAATGCCCATCTACCTCTGAATAGATAAACAAATCATGGCATATATATACCACAGAGTACTATGTAGCCATAAAAAGAAGAAGACTTTACATCTTTTATGTTTACCTGGATGGATCTGGAACATATTCTTCTAAGTAAAGTATCTCAAGAGTGGAAAAAAAATTCCAATGTACTCAATACTATTATGAAACCAATATATAAACACTTATACATTCACACAAATGATAAAATACAAAGATAGTCCAGTAAGAAGGGACAGGAGGGAGAGGGGAGGGGAGAGGATGAGTGGAAGGAGGGTATTTAGTGGGATTTCACCTAATGTGCACAATGCAAGGGTATATTTCAAAACAACAAGAGTATATTATAAATGTTGTATCACAAAAATAATAAGTGAGTTGATGGTTATGTTAATTAATTTGATTTAAGTATTCCACACTGTATATCAAATCATCACATTGTACCCCATAAATGGACACAGTTATGATTTAGTAAAAATTAAGTAAAAAAAGAACTTGACTTAAATAGAGTTTGATAGAGAATTATCATTTAGTATCTAATGAGATAACAAAGCAAGAAGATAGGGCACCTAAATACATGGCCATCTGTTGGGACAGAGATGACAACCTGGGAGAAAGTGGAGACATATCTTCCCACTTTTGTTTTTAAGATTCAGGCAATATATTTTCAAATGACTCAAGAAGGAACTTGGGACAGACAACAAGTGTGTTCTACAAAGCCATGAAGGAGTGGAGCTGAAAGCTTAACTTAATAAAGAAGCAAACAATTCTGGCTTTCTTTACCTAGTGTCCTTTATATTCTTCATAGACACTCTGGCCCATAGATGTCTGTGGTTTGTGTTATGGATGCCTTAACTAAATCTCCTTCATTAAATTAACCTCAGAAAAGAGTTGCAGCCCACAGAATATTGTTTTTCGAACCTTGCTAATTTTAAGAAAAACCAAGTTTCACCATGTTCTCAATGTGTGGTCCCTGTACTTCCAGCATTAACACCACCTGGAAACTTGCCCTTAATTACAAATTCTTGGTATCTACCCCTCTGCAGATTTACATAATGAGAAATTTTGAAGGTAGTACCCAGCCATCTGTGATTTAACAAGTATGATTCTGATATCCATTCAGGAATCTGATACACATTTGCTGCCATTGAGGAAGCAAAATTGTTCATTTACAAATTTCCAATGACATAATCTTAGCAGGGCAACATTAGAATTCAGATTTCTGTCATTGATAAACGTAATAAATTTGCTCCATTATACAGCACCCAACAATTACTCAATGAACCTCTTTCTTGCACTAACTTTTGTGAAATACTCTTTCTGGGCATTCTGTCTCAGATTAATGAGAAAGTGGTAGACTGCTCACATATTCCAGAAGCTGGAGCTAACTGATTGCATAATGCACTGAACCACTTGGCTTTAGCCTCTTCCTGTTAAGATTTGTGAATCTCAATTGTAACATACCATTTCTCAACATATCTTCAAGTAGACAATTTCATTTCAACAATGAAGATGACCATAATGAGACATGAATTATGGGGAAAAGAAAGATAGCAAGGATTGTAGGAATTTTTTTCAAAAAATAACTTACTAATTAAAAATATTAATCCACCAGGTCACTAAGAGGTTCTCTGCTTTGATTGTGCACACAAAAAACCATTAGTCTTTATTCATTTAATGTCTAGAACTCCAACTAGTCTGTGAAGTATCAAACAAATATTCCTTAAGGCCCAATTTCATAGGGCTCTCACATTCCCATTAGTCCTTTAAAGGCAGATAGGAGCCCCATTTTACAGATGACATAACAGAAGCACAGTGACTTATCTAAGGCCATATCATTATGGTCAAAGTCACAATTAAGTCTCAGATAGCTTGACTTTTCTTATAGGTGTTAATTCAATATAACAAGTATGTGTTAAGTACCTGTTCTAGGCCAGACTCTGGATTAGGGGATGGTGACATAAAAATTTCTGACATAGTCCCTTCTTCCCTGATTATTTAATGCCCACATGTGGCTGACCTGGAACTCCAGTGAAGTAATGAAGGGAATAATAAATTGACTTTTGCATTAAAAGAAATCATGAGCCAGCAAGAATTTTATCAGGAGGTGAACCAAGGTCTTCACACTGACCATGCACCATTTAAGCAAGGCACCAAGATGTTCTATTTCTTGGTGATTAAGAGTTTATCATATGCTACTAAAGTTTCATACCCAGAACAAGATGTAGAGATACCACGTGGCAAAACAATATAGTTGTAGAAAAGACAGTAAGAATTGGTACTCAAGGAAGGGAAGAATAAAAACTAACTATGAACAAATCACACTACAATGTAAAAGTAACACAGTGTTCAGATACACTTCCAAAACACATGAGAACTGATATGTGCTCCTTCTATTCTCTTTTTATCTTGGGTATGAGGTTGAATTTGAGGGGGTATCTATATATTTTCAAAACACTAGCATCTCTGCTATAGCATACGTGCAGGTGAAGGCAATAACTTAAGTGTATTTGGGGGGGGGGTGTTGGTGGGATAAGAAGTGAAAATAAGGCAACCACAGAGAATTTTTTTTGAGGAATGTATAAGTTTTCCACTAAGTATTCAAATCAATCCAAATTTGAGGTCATATTAATTTACTCGGTCAACATTTTAAACACCTGTAAAATATTCTGAGTGGCACTCAGTTCTGGGGATACCCAAGTGATATACAGTTGTCCCTCTGTATCCCTGTGGGATTAGTCCCAAGATCCCCTTGGAATATCAAAATCTACAGATGTTCAAGTCTCTTATATCAAATGCTGAAGTATTTTCACATAACCTAAACACATCCTCCCATATACTTTAAATCATCTCTAGGTCATTTATAATACCTAATACAGTGTCAATACTAAATAAATAGTTGTAATGGACTGTTTAGGGAATTAGGACAAGAAAAAATATATACATGTTCAGCACAGACAAAACTATCCACGTTTTTCCAAATGTTTTTGATCCATGGTTGGTTTAATCCATGGATGCAGAAACTACAGATAGACAGGCTGACTCTAACAGTGTTGGTGTTTTTCACTCTATGACTAGAGTAGCTGAGGAACCTCTTCAGAATACTAGCTCAAATTGAACTGAAGTATGGAAAAATAAGACATTTAGGAGTTTTTCAAATGAGTTGGATTTACTTGATTAGAAAGGTGACAAGACTGGGGGGTAGATAGCTTGTAATATCTTTAAAAAGTTTACAGTATCATTTTATGAAGAGTTTAGATCTGCTAATATGAAAGCAAAGAAAAAGATGAAAGTTAGCCTCAAGTTATAGAAAAAAAAAGGATTTAGGAAGGAAATTGGAAAGACTTTTCTTCTGGCACAGTAGAGCTGGTTATTGAAAAAATCCTGTTGAGTTATTCTGTGGAAGACATTTGAAAAGTGATTAGCTAATTCTCTTTTCTCAATCACTTCAAAGGTATGTTTATAACTAAAAATCGAGTGCTAGAATAATCCTTTTCTGGAAGTTCCTCTTCTAAAATGCTGTGAATGGTAACTAGGTGGACTAAAAGTCTGTTTGCTTCTCTCTCCCTTATTTGGCTGGCATGTTTAATTCCTGAATTGGAAACTCATAGAAATTGCTATGAAATGTATCACAGACCATGACTCACTATGAAAAGGACAAGTGTGCAAATTGCCTTACCAGTGAAAAATCCTCTGCCTGTCCTCCCCTTTCTTCCTGGGATGAGACTTCAGTTCTTTCTCTCTGATTCATATCCTGAGGAAATCAACATAACACAAAATGGCTGTGTGCAATAAAAAATGTCTCCAATCCACACTTGAAGAATGTAAGCTCCTTTTAATTCAGATATTCATCGTCTTCCCAAGGAAGTCTTTCCTTCAGAAGAATTTGGTGCCATTTAAGATACATAAAGCAGGCAGAATGCCATTCATGCAATGAATGTTATGTATTAAGTCCTTTAGCCAAGGGATCTACAAAGTGCACCTGCCCTGGCAACAGTTTTAAAGATAAGAATTAGCAGAAGAAAGAACTAAAGTTTATTTAAGCCCACTGGCGTCAGGTATACTCCATGTTCTTCTGTAGCAGTAGTTAATATTAATTGAAGGTTTACTAGGTATTAAGACACCATTCTGAGTTTTTCATGCATTATGTCATTTAATCCAAACAACTCCATGAAATAAATCTTATTATGGACCCTAACTCACAAATGAGGGAAAGGAGGTTCTGACAGTTTACCTGATTAAGGCAGAGATGGGAATCAAATGCAGAACTATCTAACACCAGGGCTTAAACTTCTAGCTACTCTTCATTTAGTCTTTTAAGAAAATGTAGATATACTATCCCCCTTAATTATATAAGAAAATGGAAATCAGAGAAGATAAGTAACTTGATCAAAAACACAAAGATTACTGATCTTTTAGACCTGGAATTTGAACTCAGGTCAGGTGGACTTCAATGTTCATGCTACAGCCACATCCATAGAAAACTCAGGAAATGTGTAAATATTCTCACATTTACTCCATGCAAATTATTCTTAAGTCAATTCAAATAGACTGATGCCTACTCTGTACAAAAAAACACCACATGCAAAATTTTGAAGACAATATGAAAGAATTAAATATATTCTACCTGCCTCCAATGAACTTTAAATTCTAGTTGGCATTGAAAACAACCAGATGAATAGACTGAGGTCAGTTGCAAAGCACTTTGTCACTATAGATAAAATAATGTTCTATGAACTGAATAAATTCTGAAGAGATGTTGGGAGAAGCAGTGGTTAGAGAAGAAAGCTGATCAAGGAAATCTTAGAAGAAGGAGAAAATGATGTATATGATGAGTTGAATTGATCTTTACCTCCCAGCTTCCTGGATATTTTGTGAATAGATAGAAAATAATACTTTGGAGAGCCTATGGAAAGAAAATACAATCTTAGTACTTATTGGAAAGGCTCTATTAAAGCCATGGCTCATCATCACAGAGTCGTGGAAAGGGTGAAGGAGAGGAAAGGATTTTTCTGTGATGACAGTTAAAAGTACTACTGATTACTCTTTCCGTTGGCTAGTAGGTTTCCATAGGGTCCTATCAAACACAAACTATAATAGTTGTAAATCAAACCCACACTCATCCCTTATAAAGAAAACCGGCCAAGGACAGGGAGAGCCAATTTCAACATTTTCAAGGGATTTTCCATGAGATCTATTATCTGTCCCATCACAAAGATGAAAAAAACTGAATTATTATAATATTAGAAAAAGAGATTTACTGGACGAATGGACCCCATTGCTGATTGCTTACTTTAGCTTTTCTCCCCCACAGTCCTCCAATTTAATGAAGAATGAGCTGTTTAAAAGAACCCATGGATAGTAAATGTGTAGTCCCAATTTGCAAGATTTATCTAAGATATGTTCAAATTTTCTTCAATTTAACGCAAGAATTTCAGCCTCCAGGAGAACTATTTACTAGGACTTCTCTATGAACAATATTTTCCTTCTATTGAGGAACAAGAGATGTTCAAGATGTAAATGAGTTTTACTAAATAAAACAGTTCTGAAGTAAAAGAACTTTAGGAAGATGAGTTCAAATGTTTTATTGTATTTTATAGCCTTTGATATGTTCATGTACAGTATGTATCTCCAATGAATACTTAGTCAACATTTCTTAAACTAAGAACTTTCTTATTTTTGTGGAACTTGTATTGATATCTCATAGACTTCACAATCCAAAAATGGAGCCAGCTTTTAAAAGTGTTAGATTCAGGCAGATGGAATAATAGGGGGAGAGAGAGAGGACTAGTAACAGGCCATGACTTTGACCCTCTACCTGGGAGTGATTGATGGGCCTCTACATCAAGGTTCTCTGAATTCATTGTGGAATAAGAGTGAGTGACATATTGCTAATGTCTCACTCAATGCTTTGCAAGGCCATGTTCACAGCGACATGGAAGAGAACTAGAGTCACTCTTTCTACTAATGATCAGCTCAATGTTGGCGTCTGTGGGGAATGAGGAACATAAAGCAGCCCCCCCCCCCATGGAGAGAGAGATGATTCTACCTTGAGTCTCTTCCAGATCCTCAATTCTACAATTGCTCTCTAGAACTGAAGGAGCACGTGGAATGAAGGGCTATTTCCTCTATGTGCCTAAACACACTGTGTTAATTAAATTTTAGTCCATCACCCAAAGTCTTTGAAACGCACTCAAAAGAGTTAAGATTCTACTAGCAGGTCATTCTGTATCTATTATATGTACTTCCCTACCCCTCCCCACATCTGACCAGCATATAAGATTGGCTCACGCAGAATATAATGAAATCATACTTCACTACAGATCGCTTGCACTAATGTGAATTTAACATGCCTCCATTGGTTATGACCATTTCAAGAAGGGGAGATTGAGACACTGAAGGAAAAGTAGGATCTCTTAGAGTTCTATTTGAAGAAGGAAATCCTGAGATAAAACTTGTGTCTGCAAGAATGCAGTTTGCTTGGTAGAGAGATCACCTTAGAATCAGAATACCCAAACCATTTAACATCACATGTACAGGGGAGTGAGACCCTGAAGTGGCATTTTTCTGCCCTATCCTCAGTCATAATGATATAAAAGGCCACAGTCAACTCATTAAAATGCACTTTCTAATAGTATTAAACAAGATTTTTAGCCAGTAAGTTAAATAAGTAAAATTAACATACTTCTTAATACAAATATTATATCTTTCTGTGAAACTATATTATACATATTTTTCTAGCTTCCAAATATATTTATCAATTAAAAATTCTCTATTTTGCAGATAAACAGGTTTAAAGAAAAAACTTATGTTTGTTGAGTGCTTTAAAGTTACTATTTTCTTTTACGTGCCTTGTTTTAACTTCAGCATAACTGTGAAAGATGAATTTTAATGTCTTCATTTCATAATGAAGAAATTAAAGATTGAGAAATTATCACCAAAGCTAATACTTGGCAGAGTGAGATTGAAACCCAAACTTCCTGATTTCAGATTTAGTGTTGTCAACTCTTCATGGAATGAGTCAGAATTCATATTTGCTGAGAGATTACCACATGGTGATCCTAAGCTTTTCAAAACTCCTAGTGCCTTGTACTGCAATGTCTTCATTGGAAACTGTCTTATTTCACGTGTATCTGTCTTATCTACCCAACTCAAACATTAAGGCTTTGATTAAGTTTCAGTTTTAGGCATCCCCTGACCTCATATGTTATTCTTAGTGCAAAGAATGCTCTGTCCCTTCAGGCCCCACACAACTTAGTTAATAGGGCTCAAGCCAAGGGTGACCCATCTGCTCATGAAGGAAGCAGATTTGAGAGAATAAAACTCAGCCAGAGAGAGTAGCCAACACAGTAGAAGGACTCGATGAAGTCCTGAATTCTAGTAATTTCTGGAGACTGGTGCACCCCAGCCTGTTTCTGCAGTTTGGTTTTCTAACTAAATTAAATTAAGCTGGGTTTCTGTTGCTTACAAAGACAAGATTCCTGACCAACACTAAGTTCTTAAAAATACTTTCTACAATATACACATAGAGATAGGCCCAAGTGGATACTCAAGATTCTATTCCTCAGATGGACCTTTTCCCATCATTTTCTTTGACCCCTTTATGTAAAGACAGAGACGCAGTCTAAGTACCTTTTCCAAAGCCATTTGTCCTATGTACAACAGATTTCACACTAGAACCTGAACATTTTTCCCAGAACAGCACCCTCTCCATCAGGGACTGTTCCCTCTAGTGTGTGCTGCCAAATTAGCCCCCTCAAGATAAGAGGTGATTGCAGGATTCACATTTGGTCAACAAAAAATGAAAATGGACAAAAAAAAGTTTCATGTAATGACTCTCATGTTACACTATGTTTTAAATTTTTAAATTTTTTAATTAGATTAACAAATAACCCCGGACAAGCACCTGTGTCTGTGGTGGGCAGCCATTTTGAAACAAACAAGACATGCTCCTTGGCCTCAAGTAGTTCACCAAGAAGAGTAAGGAAGAGTACAGCTTACCAAAGCTCCTATACCCTCAAACTAGCAATCTGGGAGCATCTGTACTTATTACCTTTGTGGTTACCAGTAAAACCCTTTTCAATCAGTTAAGAGGTGAACAAAAATGTCAGCTCTTAGTTTTGTATCTGCATTTGAATTCATTTTTAAACAACAGTGGATATTATCCAGATAGGCCAATTGAATATGGCACTAGAGTTTAAACACACACACACACACACCTTATAAGTCTCCAAAGATAATCATTTTTCCCTCACCAAGTCTATTAAAAGAATATGCTCTAGGTTCTGAGTTGTACCATAAAATAGACGATTCAAAGATCTTTTGTCAAGACCAGGCAGCATCACTACCTGAAAAGAACTATACTATTCAAGATGAGTATGTTTTTATGCACTTGTTAAAATAATGAGCTCTAGAATGTATATTAAATTTCTAGACAGGCCTAGAGGCAGGATTATCTTAAGTCACCTTGAGTCTCTTCCAGCTCCTTGATTCTATGATTGCTTACACTGGGTTTCTCCAAGCCCGTGATGGGCTGAAGAGCTATTTCTGTTCTAGTTCTTTTCCTTATATAGGTCAGATCCCATTCCAATGAGTACCATAACAACAGCCACCTCATGGCCTGGTTATTTTAGACAACCTGATAAAATGAGAATCAAATCTGACCTCCAAGCCAAAATTGGCTGGTTATTACAGAATTTGACCTGAATATTATTTAAACAAAGAGGTAGGCAGTGTCTTAAGTGTTTATCTTCA